GCCTATATCAGAGTACATTTCCAAGCATCATGTGAAAGAATAAATTAATTAATTGTTAATGATCTCCCTACAGAATCTCGGGATTTAGTTGGCTTAGATGAGAAAGGCCAGCGTCTAGTTTTTATGGCTGCCGAAGAGGACATTGAGGAGTTTCTAACTGTACGGAAGTCAATTCTTGAAAAGTAAGATTATAATTATATCATTTCTTTCACATCCAAAGGCAATTATTGGGAACAATATATGTTAATAAAGTTAGAAAACAAATTTGTGGAATTTTTTGCGACCTTGCAAGCAATGCAACTAGTGTTTTTCAAGATTTACTGACTTGAACGTAAAGTAACTTGACAATGCTCTGTGAAGTCATGATGCTCAATGAAATGAGTCTCTTCATGAGGTTAGTGGTGGTCTCTCAGGATTTGAACGCAGGACCCTGGGATTTTAAAGCAAGCATCTAACAAACTAGCTTAAGATCTGGTGTAAGCCAGTATTTATTTCTAGACAATTTGTTAGCTACTTACTCTGATGAAGTCTAGATAAGGATTGACTGACTTCACTGGTAGCCCTTATTTAACAGACTCCCAACCACCCCAGCTGAGAGTAGGAGAGTCGCCGTGATGAGTGAGTGGGTATTGCATAATTTAAACATTTTGAACAGATTTTAAAATTCTTGCTTTATTTTAATATTTCTTCATGTTTTTATTCTCCTTTCAGTGTTTGATGTTTATTTAAGACCATGTGTTTTTCATTGACATTGAACATGTAATGTCCTGTTGAAATTTTAAATCTGGCTGAGTATTTCAAGTTGTTGTTATATTGCATATTACAGATAGTAAAGTTTCTTGAATCTTGAAGCAAATGTCTTAAAGATTTTTGATGCAAAGTTTTGGTTTTTTTTTTTCTTTTTTTGTAGGCATCCATTTATTAAAGTTGGCACAAGTTTACTAGATGCCCATATGTATATATTTAAGAAATGGGTGATTGATTATTTATCAGAACATAAGTGAGTATTACTTTACATAGATCATAGTTCATATCTGTTCGTTTGGAAATTCTAACTGACATACCTGTAGAATTGTTGAAGGTTTAGAAAAATGAATATAGACACATCAAAAGAATAAAAGTATAAATGTAGAGGTATAAACATCATTCTTATATATTGTAACGTTTCTTGGCCTCGGCGATCAAGTGTGTGGTTAAAGAACCCTATAATTTAAGACCAATTTTCTGTGGTCCCAAATAACAAATGGCTTATATCCTTATTATTCTAATAAAAACCAAAGCTGCTAAAATTCTGGTCCCCGGTGATATTCCGTCGACTTATGATAACTAATTAAAATTAAGGACAAAGTTTAACTTGTGTAATGAGCCTTGTGATACTTTTATTTCAATAACAAAAACTCACCAAAGCAACGTACAAAATACAGGTACTACACTGTAGATAATAATAATAAATAATAATAGATGGATTTATATAGCGCAAATAAACGAGGTAAATGTGGAACAGGACAATTTGAGTTCATGTCCGATCAAAGTTGGGTCGCCAATCGACCTCTCCTAATTTTTCTCTACCCAAATACTTTACACCTTTTCTAATTTACATATAAGACGGGAGCCAATCAGCATTTAGAATGATAACTTTGGGAAGAAATCTAATTAACATATAAGGCAAGGGCCAATCAGCGTTAGTTGGGTTAACCTATTAATAAAAGGGTAAAATTAAGCAATATAGACTACCAATTTTGTTACAATATACTATAATTCTTACTATGAATATGGTATGATATGATATATAATATGAAGTTTCTATCTGATTGTATAAATGCATCAATTTCATTTGACAGAACCACAGATCCCCTGAGCCTTAAACTGCAGAGGGCACTTGATAATGAAAATATTGATTGTTGGTTTTCAAAAACATTTTCAACAAGTGTAATAGTGTCACTGAACACTTTGTGGATATTAGACGCTGTATAAGTAGTTTTGATGGATTGAAATTAATTTTTCTTTCATTATTTAGAAATATTTCATCTGTAAAAGGAGAATTGATTCCTTGTTTAGTGAAGAAGCAATTTATTAAGAAACGAGCTGAAGATGTTGATGATGAAGGCTCTATGGAGCATGCTACACACAATCACAGTGAGTACACTTAGCCTTGTCCACACTACCAAATCTTATTTGACAAAAGCATGCGACATTGAGCCCTCTGTTGGCCAATGTTGGCCCTGTACTTTATTGGGGGTGCTGTTCTAAATCAGCAGCAAGTCTCACTACCTAAACATATAAGTATTTCCCTGTTTGGAATTTTCAGCAGATATTGTTCTCCTGAACTCAATCAAAATGTCTAGACATCCTCAACCAACAACAGTTCTTTTCAGATCCACATGGTTTACCGCAAGCACTAGTATATATTATTACTTCAACTTGCAAACTTTCAAACAATATTATGCCTAAGTAACACATCATGACCATATATAGGCACATCATGACTATATATGGGCATACAACAGTTTTTTTTTTATAAATTTGAAGAAAATTTGATACTCTGGACAGCTTTAAAGCTTTGTCCATACTGTACTATCAAATTTTATGTGACAAATAATTGTGATGTGCCCATATTTGGGTGTAATATGTCATCATTATGCCCATTTATGGGCAAATCACACAAATTTGTCACAAAATGTAATAGCATGTACAGAGCCTAAAACCATTAATAGAAAAAAGATATTAATTTTCAGTAAGGCTGGTAACCATGTAAGGAGTCCCTCCCACCTTTATCAAGTCAGTGTTCCCCTCGTGTGTATACGGTATGTTGAATCTGGATAACATCTAGGTTCCATCTGACATTGCAAAAGTGGAAGGGGGCTATGTTGATTAAGGAACAAGTACGGCAAAACCTCTCTTATCAACCCAAATCAACCGTTCTTTTTTTGTTACATAATTGTCATTTATTAATCATTTGTTATTGCAATAATGATAATTAGGATTTGTTAATTCACTTAATTTAATAGTACATATAATTTTCATAACTGCTTTTTTTTTATTTTTTTATCTTTAATTAACATTCCATTGTAACATAATCAATTATAGTCATAATGAATAAAATGAGTATATTGTCGACACATATTTCAGATTATTCCAGTGTTGATGCGCTGAAGCAGAAGACACTTGAAATGTCATCATGGACTGGGGATGAGGGAGGGATTACAAATGGTTGCATAGCTAACATTGATGCTATCAAATGCCACGTATATGTCATGGATAGTGGTTTCTGCTCACGGGCAAACTCTCTGGCTGCGTACTGTGATGTTAATAGACAGGTTAGTATGTAGGCAGATGGCCTAAACAGTCTACACATTCACTCTACCTTGTCACAGAGGTCATGGTAGAGGAACACCGCATAAGAACGTAGTGAGGCTACTTGAATCTCTTGCTTAAGAATGAACAAAAGTTTTAATACATTGACATCATCTGTTCATAATATTTCATATTTTTCTTTCTAGATTCTTCAGAGTAAACATGTTTTAGAAGAAGAAAATTTTGTGCATTCAACAGCCAAAGTAAAACCAAAAACACAGGTATGGAAAAATATGATTGTCAACACCTAGGCACTGGCACATGTGAAAGTTAGGGCTATACTATTAATTCAGCATAAAGTATTTTGCAACATGTATGTTTTGAACATTGACACACTATAGACATGCTCAGCAGAAACTGCAAGATGGTTTATTAAGGTTTCATGCACAGACCAGGGATGATAAAAATTCTAACATCAGAATATTCATTAGCTGTGTGGGCCTTTCTAACTGGTAGTGGATGCATCTTCAGAAATTAAGCAATCCACTGCATGGTAGAGAATTACATTATAGAGTTCATTCATTCATCATCATCAGGATGTTTACACTAGAACTTGGATTACAGTATGAATGTTGGCTCATAATAATAATAATATGCAGGTTTTTATATAATGCTCTATACAACTAAGTCTCAGAGTGGTTTTCTACATTATTACTCCAGTCATTGGAAAGATGCCTATGGGGGAAATTCCACAGTTTGCTGTGAAATATATCAGCGCATTTTGTACTTGAACCTCCTTAGGTACCCACTTATTCTCCTGGGTGGAGAAAAGCAATGCAGATAAAGTGCCTTGCTCAAGGACACAAGCGAAATGCACAGCGAGGGTTTGAAACCCCGACCTCAAGGTTGGGAAACCAAACCGTACCTGCTGCGCCAAATCGCTTCTAAAAATTTTGATTATATTTTTGTACAGGTTGGTCAGGATTCAATGGTAGGCGAGGAAAGCTCAGTTGGTGAGAAGGTTTCTGTTAAAAGATCGGTAATTGGTCAACATTGTAACATTGGAGATAAGGTGAAAATAGCCAACTCAATAATTATGGACCATGTCACTATTAAGGAAGGGTAAGCACATGCAAAATTATGTACCCTGTAACAAGTTGCCCCATGTTAACATCAGAACATAATGAAATGATGTGAAGTCATATCTGTTATGACTTTTGAAGTGAAGTCGTATCCTTTCCTTAACTTTTTTTTTTTTGAGCTTAACCTAATATATTTACTTGAAATTTTATATTAGTTAATGAAGCTTGTACAATAACTTTCTTCTTCTCTAAAGGTCTCTTCGTGTCTGAGCTACCTGGTAAACCTGTACCAGCTATCTCTTATCTGTCCACAAAAGGGGCTGCTGAAGCAGTACACCGGTGTAACCCCATATTCATCTTGAAAGATGTACTGGGTTCTTTAAAGTACACATGAGCCAAATTGTGTAGTACACTGGGCTTTCAGTTTTTAGTTTTTATCCGGGAAGAATTGTTCCACCACCAGAACCATAGGCGAGCATGCTCAACCAGTGCTGATGGTTGTACGTTGGGGCACCCCCTGCCTTAACCGCAGCCATTCTTTTTAACTTCATGGAGCTATAATAAAATTGAACATTACAGGTGTGTTATACATGGCAGTGTTATTTGTGGAAATGCAAGTCTCAGTGAACAAGTGGAACTTAAAGATTGTCTGGTTGGAAGCAAGCAAACATTACCTGAAAAAGGTAAGTACTGTTTGTGGAACTAAGAAAATTAGATACACACTTAAAATCCAGAGGTGACGGGACTAGGGGGTGCTGTTTTATGGAGAGTAATGTGTGACCGGAAATGGTCTGCAGTCAGTTGGTTGTTACCATGCGCCAGTGATGTTGGAGTATATAGTACAGCAATATGAAACTATTATGTAGGCCTAATGAATGAATAAAGTTTGGAGTTTGTGAGGTAGTGAAATGATTATTTCACATTTAAGTGCTCCCTAAATTCATAAGTGTAAGCTAAATTACGGTGATTAATTTAATTAGCGAAGATATGGAGACAATTATTTCGAATCCCTCTTTCCAAGACGGGATGCAAATGCTTTGTGAAAATGAGTACGCCGCGGTACTCATTTTCACAAAGAAATACACACAACTGGTTAGCTAACAATTATGTCAATGTTACATGAACACCTGAGAAGGAAGGTGCAATCACGTTGTTACCTAGCAAACGTCTGTACTGTATGGGGGAGGGGCTGCTGATGTACTGTGTAGCGGGGTACGATGAGGCATAAGACTAGGCCTAACTAAGACAGTGGAATTATATGTTATAGAAAGTACACTTTTGGAAGAAATAAATTAAAATAAGAAAAAAAAATAACTAAGAATAATTCATTTGAAGTATTATACAATGCTAACAATGCGGCTCTTGTAGCCCTGGCTTGGACAAGGCATCCATGTGCAAAGCAGTGGTGTTTGTTTATCCATGAAAAAAAACACGCCGGGAATTAAAGTTTGCCTTACCAGGAAAAGGTGACGTATCTAGCTTATGACATATGCATGCTAACTAATGTGAGCGTGACGTCACCAAAAAATGAATATTTTCTATTATAACCAAAATATTAATAACTACACAGTTTCTGGGCGTAAATTCCCTTAATATGAATGAAGGGTTGCTCAATCTCCTTGCCATGCAAATTACAGCTCCCACTGACGTCTCAGTCAAGAAATACAGGTAGCTGAAGTTTTTCTCGCAAATCTGACTACAAAACCATATCCAAATTTCACGTTCCACTTTTGACCCTGAGTTGTGCTTCGCACTCGCCGCTGAGGCCAGCGGCGTTCCGGGAACCCTGCGGCAAGTAAAGATTGGATTGTTTTGACAATTTTTGAGTGTCTGTTCTTGTCATATGAGGACAGTAATATCTTGATATTAGAATTATTGAGTATGAGTGCACCTTAGGAGAGTGATGTATTGATATTATTGAGTATGAGTGTAATTGTACCTCAAGACAGGTCACCTACCTAATAATAACAGAATAATTACATTACTTATTTCATCTTTATAATTATTATTCAATTTAATTTTTTAAAAGTAGATATTTCAAGTATTTTACATTGTGTTTTATCCTATTTTCTTTGTTTTTAAGTACTTTTAAGGTTGTTTACAAGAGGCTAATACAAATATATGTTATAGTTATGCTGAATTTATTTTTTTATTTACTGTTTTTCAGCTAAATTCAGCAATGAAATTATTATTGACAACAACTACATGATGGAGATATGAGAGCAGTTTCGCTAAGTAAAGTAAATTGAAGTATGAACACTCAGTCATTGGTAAAAGCATGTCCGTCATTGGTTATAGCGCCTCCATTGGCATATACTATCACAAATTGGAAAGAGGCAGGCATATTTGGTATTGTAGAAGAAGCAGTGCTTTGGCAACACCATTCGTGTCATCCAGTCCTGCTATGGATAATGAGGTGGTTATTACAGCAACTGTTTCCATAATTAATAACAGTGTTTGAAAGTGAAAATGTGTCTGATGCAAATTAACTTACTAGGTGAGACACCAAGAGACATTTGTGTATTTTCACATCTAATATGTCTGTATGCTTGTGTGAGAGCGCCACCCAGTAGTGTAATGTTTGTAAGCTCTCTGTGGCAGAACCAAGGCTTTGACTTCTACCCAGCACTGTAATACATAGTCTTGACCAGTGTGCTCTCATAGGGAAATCTCCATTTTCAAAGTTCAGAAATGGCCTCTTACCCCACTACTCTGCTACATTACTTTCCAGTAGAAGTCACCCAAAAATAAGAAAACTAAAACAGTGTAATTCTCAATTTTAACTCAGCCATTTTATGTAGAGTATTTACTGACATATAATGGCCCCCAACATATTCATCCTCCAATTCTCTCCCCCCCCCCATACATAGCCCTTGACTCACTGTTTCACCACTTGTGCCACCATGTTAGGATTTGCTCGGTATTGTTCAATGCATGCTATAGAATTCTATTATAAGTGTTCTTGCTATTTAGCATTATTTATGTCCCCCCAAATTGAAACCATCTGCTGGCCCATGGCCTAATGTTTTTGGTACCTGTGCGATTATGCTAATTATTCATTTACATAATTAATACTTAATTATTGAGTGCATTTGCAATGTAGACTTCCATAATTCCCAATAATTTACATGAAATAATGTTGATACTTGATATTTTTGAATGTAAACAAAATCTGCAATTCAGTTCGCAGTTGGTTTGGAAATATTTTTATTATTATTATACTTTTTAAAATTAATAAACTGTTAAGTAAATATCAGTTTAATGTATTTCATGTTGTTTAATGAAATAAAAGTTTCAAACTGTTGCAGTTAAAACTAATCCAATCCGAAACTCACAATAAATTGGACTTGTGACCAGCAGAGCGAGTTGATCAGCAACCAAATTCAAGTGATCTGTGTTTGACACAGTACAGTTTTTCATGCTTTAGTAAAAAAAATTAATCAGAAATCGCTTTAGGCGTTCTGTAATGTCTGTTCATGTTATCGTCTGGGGCTTAAGCCTAGTATGTGTAGGTAGGTCTTTCTATTAGACGTGAGGTGCAAAATGAGCTTGCAACAACTCTACGTAGCACCTTCTATAATTTTTGTTAAACTCCTTTGTCAACGTTCGTCGTACATATTTTGTGAAAAAATTACATCGCAGGGAGGTAATATTTTACTACATAGCACATAAGGAGTTATTCTAATAAATTTATATAAATTTAATAGTTAAATGCGCATCGAGTGAGAGAAATTTGAGGGCATACCTACACATAGATATTTTACCTAGAATCAGGTCACCATGCATGCAGTTGCATAATGGTGGCACTGGAGGCTCTGCCTTCTGACTGGGGCCATTTTGCATCATGGTCACCAATTCCATCGTGGGATTTTTGATGTGTTCATTTTTTAATCATGTTCGTCATTGTATTCTAAATTGTTTTATGATGATATCGGTGCGAATCCGCTAACTTGAAATGGAGGAGCTCAGGGAGGGTCTATACCACCTTAGCCCCACTGTGGTTCGTGTTTACCTGTATGGCACCTCCAGGTGGCCGGAAGTAGCACTCACAAGCTTAAAAATATATTTTCTTTTTATCTCCATTTTTTTAAATGTCTCCTCCCCACCAACTTTAATGGTCACTGGATATAATATGGTATATGGCAGTCTGCTGTTATGTATCAACAAAGCTCCTTTCGGTCAGTTTGTCTAGACCTTCCTGGCCCTAATGGTTATTGGCCCCGCGGACTGCAGCACGAGAGCATGTAGGCATTACGCCACTGCATTTTCCCAAGTTAGGTCACATGACTCGTATTCGTATGTTGTACTTGTTTTTCTTAGTAATATTATATGCCTGTGAATAACCACATTTAGTCGGTTATATCAAATTGTAATAGAACGTAACCCTGCATTTTATTATTTAAAAAAAATAACCTAATACTTCAAAACGATGCTTTAATCTCGTATTTCTAGTACTATTTGTACATTAATCATGTACCTTATCACTTGACTTGTATGACCTTTTTACCACATTTTCTGCAACCTATACTTTCCTAAAATATATTTAGTGTCCTCACGAATGTCACGATGTAAGTTTCAGCACAAAAATTCTGGAATTCAGTGGAAATAAATTATGCAAACCAGTGGTAAATTTTTTTTTTTGACTATTATTGTCTGAGTCTAGGGTAAAAGTCAGTCAAGTTTGAAAGGCAAATGGGAAAATCCCATAAAACAGCAAAAAAAAGTCATATAATGCAAAACAATTTAAAATTAAAACGGAACAGTGTGTATATATATATGGGGGCATTCATCTTGCTTTCGGCAGTTGCATGTATTAGATGGTTCTTGTGGTTTGGTGCGAAGAATTCTGCTGTTGTAGGACTGAATGATGTTTCTGTCTCGGGAAACTCCCTTGCATCTTCAATTATCTACAAAGCCACCGTAACCACAAATGATGACGTCAAAGAGTACATCGGACTCACAGACAACACATTCAAAACAAGATTTACAAATCATAAGCACACATTTAGCTCTCTGAAGCATAAGAACAGCACCGAATTATCAAAACATGTATGGAAACTTAAAGAAAGCAACACCCAATTCAACATTAAATGGTCCATAATTGACAAAGCTACGCCATACAGTACACAAACAAAACGCTGCAATCTGCCTTACAGAGAAATTTCACATATTTATTTAAACAAACCATCAACTTTTTAAAAAAAAGAGCTGCTTTCAGAATGCAGACACAGAAACAAATTCCTACTCAAGGATACGTAACACAATTAGCATATACACCTGCTGGACCTCATATATACCTCCATTTATTTATTTATTATTTATTTATTTATTAGGATATACACTTTTGAAACAGTGGCACACTTCAAAAGAAGAAGGTGCATCCATGAAAACAAAAACATACTTAGACTAAAAATGATAAAACCAAATACAAAAAAATTACCAAGCATAAGAAAACTTACAGAACTAATAATTAAGGTTCTTCCCCTCCCTAACATAAATAATGTAATACAAAATGCACCATAACCCTATATTCAAAACAATTACAAATTACACAGCTAAAATTTAAAAACTACACACAAGTACACAATAAA